CCAACTGCACCCAGCTTTGACTCATGGTTTTTAATCATGTTTTTTTTTGTTTTGTTTGTTTCCACAATAAAATCCTTCTTTTAACTATAATTTCACGTGTGTGTGAATATTTTTCTCATAAAATAAAAGTAAAGCTCTAATTAAAATACAGGTTGGGGAGGGAGGCTAAAGATGTACTCTGATCCCTCTTCAGCTTCTAGAACAGTCTCTATAGAAACCACGATGTTAGAAGACTGCTAACATTCCCTAAGATTCTATGACAAAACATTTGAAGGTGGGTATTGTGGTATATGTCTAAAATTCCAGCACTCAAGTGGATGAGGCAGGATGACTGAGAGTCTGAGGCCAACCTGGGATACACAGTGAGTTCAAGACTGGCCTGAGCTACGTGGCAAGATCTTATTGCAAACAACAACAACAACACCCCCCACACACACCAAACCCCCACCAAAGCAACAATACTCAAACAAAGGCAGGTGGATCTCGGTGAGTTTGAGGCCAGCCTGGTCTACAGAGTGAGTGCTAGGCTAGTCAGGGGTATAGAGTGAGCCTTTGTCTCACAAAAGAAGAAAACGAGGGAGAGGAAGACAAGGATGACAGTTCAAGCTGACCTTCGGGTAAGGAGGGCTAAGACAATTTTTATTTCACGGGTTAATATAGTAGTTCCTAAGCACCATCTAAGGGGGCTCTCTGAAATGTGTGGGGATCAAAAAAAATTTTATTTACTTTTATATGTGTATGAATGTTTTTCCAGGATGTATATATGTGCACCATGTATATATCTGGTGGATTCCCTGGAACTGGGGTTAAGGATGGTTGGGAGCCACCATATAAATGCAAAGAATTGAAACTAAGTCTTATGCAAGACAAGTGCTCTTAATCATTGAGCCAGCTCTCCAGCCCTGTGTGGGGATGCTTTTGACTGTCAAAATTACCATGAAGTAGTATTGTCATTAGGGCCTAGGAACCAGGGATGTGAAATATTCTACCACGCCAATGACACTGCTATAAAATGGACCTAGCTACCCAAATGTCAATGGGTAGCTTAGCACCCCTCAAAAAAGATTGGTGTACTGAGAGGAAAGAGAGGGGGTAAATGACTGGAGGAAAGTAATCCCCATGGTAGATCAGCATTGGGCTCAACATGGGAACTGTAGAACTTCCCATAAAGTGAGCATATTTGACAGTGGTCACTATATCCTCAAGGTCAAGTATGGCCTTGAGTGCCCTTGATTAATTTCCAGGCAGTATGACCAAACTGCCCTTCTAGAAACTCTGGCACAGACAGGCCTGCAGTTTTGTCAGCTATCTACAAACCATGGACAAGTCTTCTACAGCTATTCACTCTTTTTAGTCATCAAAAGAAAAGCAATCAGCCAGGCGGTGGTGGCGCACACCTTTAATTCCAGCGGAGGCAGAGGCAGGCAGATCTCTGTGAGTTCAAGGCCAGCCTGGTCTACAGAATGAGTTGCAGGACAGCCAGGGCTACACAGAGAAACCCTGTCTCAAAAAACTATTAAAAAAAAAAAAAAAAAAGCCATCATGGCTGGTGACTAATATACCTGAGAGGAAAATGATACTACATGGCTGATCTTCACAGGAGCCATCAGAGGCCACCAGTTTCCTCAAGTACACAGCAAATATGCTTCCTCCCAGGATATCTTCTGCTACCGCAGTGGCACTGCCTATGTTTTGCTCTTGGTAGCTTCTGAGAGAATAAGAATCCTCACATTACTCCTGGAGAAAAAAAAAAAAAAAAAAAGGAACAAAAGTAACATAAGCTACCCATTCTTATTTCTTTGATAATAAGAACTATTTACAGAAGTCAGCTCATTTCTCAGGGCCACCATGGCCTGTAGGAAGCAAATCTGGATCATCTAGAGATACCCCTCCCCCACAATTGTGAAACAGCCTCAAGAAAACAAAGGAGCAAATTAAAAAAACAAAACAAAACTGTTATTATAGTAACGTTGGATTTATAAAGTTCCCAAGAACATGAATGGTGCCTTGAATCATTTATCTCTATGTCCCTAGGAGCCTAGGACAAGGTAAGAATGGGCAACAAATGTACAACTAAATACAGTATATTACTCTGTTTTCTCTGTTCAATGAAACTTCCGAAATTAGCTTTCATTCCTCCAAGCTGGGTATGGGGTCCCATGCCTATGATTCTAGCATTTGGAAGGCTAAGCCACGAGGACAGAGTTTAAAGCCAGCCTGTGCTACATAGCAGATTCAAAGTTAGCCTGGGGTATATAGCCAGATCCTGATTCAAAATAAGGTATTCTTGGGCCAGTGAGAATGGATCAACATTGTTTTTCTTTTTCTTTTTTGTTTTTCAAGACAGGGTTGCTTTGTGTAGCCCTGGCTGTCCTGGAACTAGCACTGTAGACCAGGCTGGCCTCGAACTCACAGAGATCTGCCTGCCTCTGCCTCCCAAGTGCTAGGATTAAAAGTGCACCTACCACCATCATCTGGCCAACATTGTTTTTCTAACTTATTTTGTCTTTAAACAGCTCACAGGAGCCAGATGTAGCATCATGCACCCATTATCCCAGCTATGGGGGAGAGGGACGGGGAAGCAAGAGTTTGAGGCTAGCCTGAGCAACAATATAAGTGTAAGCCACCATACACAGCTCATAAACTTTTTTATTTTCTGAGACAAAGTTTTTCTGTGTAACAGCCTTGGCTGTCCTGGAACTTGCTCTGTAGACCAGGCTGGCCTTGAACTCATAGAGATATATGACTGTCTCTGCCTACCGAGTACTGGGATTAAAGGCGTGTGCCACCAAGCCTGGCCAAGGCTGAAATTTTAAATATATGCAAAAATACACAGAAAATAAATTAACTTTTAGGTGTTCATCACTCATGGTCAATAATCCTCTGGTAACAAGTGTTTTAAAGATATCTGAATGTCTTTAGATGGGGGAGGGTCTCCCAAGATACTTTTTTTTTTTTTTGAGACAATATCTTGCTACATAGTCCTGGCTGACCTTGTATCTGCTATGCAGCCGAAGCTGGCCAAATATTTTTTTTTTTATTAAATTTCTATTTTACATTTATTTGTTTTGTATGTAGGAGGACGGGTATATACATGAAGGAGTCAAATCTTCTCCTTCCACCATAAGGGTCCTGGGGATGGAATGAAGGTCACAAGGCAACTGCCTTCTCCCACCAAGTCATCTCCCCCCCCCCCCCAAAGGACTTATATTTTATGCATTTGAGTATTTTGCTTGCATATATCTAAATACACTACATGTGTGCCTGGTGCTGAAGGAAGCCGGAAGAGGGTGTCAGATCTCCTGGAACTGGAGTTACAGATGATTGTGAGGACTGGAGAGATGGCTCAGAGGTTAAGAGAACTGGCTGCTCTTCCAAAGGTCTTGAGTTCAATTCCCAGCACTACCATCTGTAATGAGATCTGGTGCCCTCTTCTGGCCTGCAGGGATGCGTGCAGGCAGAACACTGTATACATAATAATAAATAAATAAATAAATAAACAAACACTGTATACATAATAATAAATAAATAAATAAATGAATGAATGAATAAATAAATAAATAAATAATACATCTTAAAAAAACAAAAAACAAAAAACCCCCGGGCAGTGGTGGCACACGCCTTTAATCCCAGCACTCGGGAGGCAGAGGCAGGTGGATCTTTGTGAGTTCGAGGCCAGCCTGGTCTACAGAGCGAGATCCAGGAAAGGCGCAAAGCTACACCTGTCTCGAAAACCAAAACCAAAAAAACAAACAAAAAATCAAGCAAGTGCTCTTAATCTTTGAGCCATCTCTCCAGTCCACACACTGATGTTCAAATCACACACACACACACACACACACACACACACACACACACACACACAACCCTACCTTAATCAGTTCTAAGGTAACTGGTGTTCAAATCTCTCTCTCTCTCTCTCTCTCTCTCTCTCTCTCTCACACACACACACACACACACACACACACACACACACACACACACACACACACACACACATCCTACCTTAATTAGTTCAAGGTAACTGCTCCATCCGGCCAATTCTCACTTGGTATTTAACTAAGTGCCTCCTCATGTAACAACTATATGTTTATGTCTTATGTCTCTTGATAAGATTGTGAGCTCCTGGACAAGAGGATTTTTGTTTGACTCATTCTTAAATATTCAGTGTAAGAGGGAGAAAACACATAGATGATTAGCAATTATCTGCTCATTGAGGTCCTCTAGGTTCTGCAGCTCTCGACCTTTTTGAGGGTTAAGATCCTGGAATGGGTTGCTTCTGTTCATTTTCTTGTTGGTCACCCTCCTCCCTTTCAGCTACTCCTCTCAATTGACAAATCGCAACGCCTCTCACCCGCGTCCACGAACCTTAAGAAGTCGGGGCAGCTTCAGCTCCTGGGCTCCAATCTTATTCTCCCGCCAATTCGGTCCGGTGACCTCTGCCTTCTGGCCCGAGCGCCACCCTGCCTACAGAAGCTCAGGAACGCGTTTTGGGGTTTAAAGAAGCCGCTTTTCTGAAAGATGGCTCCCACTGAGGCAAGACAGCAATTACTCATCTAAAAACAACAAAAACCCCGCGTGCTTGTGTTTTTAGGTGTACTTTTATTCACTACACTCTTTCCGTAGAGAGCGAGATTTAAACTTCCGGGTCGGACTCGATGCCGCATGGGAAATGTAGTTCTTGATGCACACGCGTCTCTGCCCGTAGCCCAAGCGAGGGAACGTCGCGAAATTAGCGCATTCAGGGACCTTCATTTGTTGCTCTCCAGAGTGACGACTGGTGAACTATTTACACTAAAATAGCATAGGAACAAATCTTCTTTTTCCGAGAACGCTTTCCTGTTGAAGGTTGGTGGTGCCCGAGAGTTGCCCCTTCTTAATTCCGAAGGAGCAGGTAGACGGTCTCTTGGTTCCTCACTGGCATCTGCCTGTCTTGATGCTCCGCCCAGGCCGCGCCTCCGATTGGCTACAAGCAGCTTGAGCGGCGGAAGCAGCTGGCTCGCGGGGGACAGGGGTGGGGGCCGGCCGTGAAGATGGCGGCAGTGGTGGAGGTGGAGGTTGGAGGAGGTGCTGTTGCGGAAAGGGAGCTAGATGAGGTAAGAGGAATTGAGGGACAAGAAAGGAGCGACAGCTTGACAGTGGAAGGAGAGGAAGTGAGGAATATTGGGAGCCGGAGGCCCTGGGAGAAACGGGCAAGATCCCGAGGAAAGAGGGAGCTGACAGGGAGAAGGATTTTCCGTGAGGGAAATCTGAGGGCTTCTGACTCAGGGACCCCGAGGCGTTGCTGGTGCAGTAGATTGGCAGTAGCTTTAAGGGTGGTGATGGAGAGAAGGCCAGAGGCCAAAGAGATGGGAACATTAAAGATTGTGAGATTCTTGGATGGAGGTCTAAGGTAGGACTAAGGGGCTAGCTAAGGGTAGCTTTAATTGGAGGGGCGTGGACTGCTGTAAGGCAAGGCCGAGGCTTTCCCTGTGGGAAGGGACTCCAAGCTTGACCTGAAGGTTGGGGACACAGATCGGGAAGCAGTGCTTAATATACTAGTATTACAGCTTTGAATTGTTTTTGGGTAGGAACCATCTTATTTGTTCTTACATGTTAGGGTTTGTACATACCGCATGCTCAGTAAAATTTTGGCCGAGGAATGAATGAATAATTGTGAATGAATGAATAATTTTGTAACAGAAATGGTCCATTTGTTCGTTGAACAAACATTGTTACTTCTGTGTTAAGTCCTGGGCTAAGTGCTTGGGACACAAGACAAGAGACCTCCTTCTTGTAACGTCCACAGTGTAGTTATGGGATAAGAAGAGGCATTGCATTACAGGTCTAATAGTGGTTCTGAGAAGCGGGCTAGGGGACGTTTTCCAGTTGTTGAATGGTTTTCCAGTTCATCTTCATTCTCATTCATTCTCTTTCATCCTCCCTTCCCCTCCTCTCAACGGGTTCCTTCAAGGTGAGCTTGAAAAGGTATGCACCCTTTATCTAATAGGCATTTAACAATCGGGATGTTGAATTACTTGTGGTCCTTGAAGGAGACATTGAGCCTGAAAGAAATGAAAAGTACAGGACTCTGTAGAAGGAAGCGAAGGCAAGAAAGATAAGGGGCAATCTGAGGCCAAATGGTCAGGGATAGTTTAGAGTTGCCTTGTGGTCTTCTCTGTGACAGCATATGGGTTGAGATAATACCAGAGGAATAGGAGGGAAAGTAGTGATTGTCGGGGAGGGCAGTAGTGGCTTCTCTGGAGGGTCAGATTTTTTGAGGGCTCTTGCTCTGTGTTTGATTTGGGATAGATAGGTGAAGAGCCTCAGGAAGGGAGTAGGTGTAGGAAATAATGACAGTTGCATGGTGTGAGGTTAATATGTTTTTCCCCCCTTCTGATTGGAATTAATAAAGTGAGAACACAAGACTAACAGGTAACAGGTGGCCTAGTTTCTTACCAGCCAGTTGCTAAAGACCAAAGGTGTTTGAACTCTGCTTGGTTGGGAAGCAGAAGGTTGTAGAAATAACCTCCAAGGCTCCTTCTAGTTTTAAGTTTCTGTGTTTGCAGTTGGCTGCTATTAATTGAGGTATTTTAAAAACACCTTAAAGTAGTAAATAGTGTACTGAAATTAAAATTTATGGTTTATTAGTCATGGGTCTTCATTGAGATAGTTTCATGTGTCTTAATTTTTGGAGACAGGATCTTAGTATGTGTGCCATGCTGTCACTGAACTCTGACTCCTTCTCTCTCGTGAGTGCTGGAATTACATGGGTGTGCTGCTGTGCATGGCTAATTTTTGACTTTTTGTTTCTTAGTGCTTTAAGGACTTAAGTACTACTAGTAGAATGAGACCTATTTCAGTGTTGGGTCTACAAGTTAACTTTACATGAAGCCACTAGCATCTATCCCTCATTGCTTGTCTTGTTTTCCAAGAAAGAATATATCCCTGTTGTCTGGAAATTCTGTGTGAACTGGTTCTATCCTTTTCCTTATGAGTTTAAGAAAGTAGAAGAAGCAGGAAGTTATCTTGAAGTTCTAGAAAGAACCAGGTCTGGACTGACAGACCTCAGTTTATACGCCTTCTACTAATGTCTCATCTGCTGTTTTGTGCTCAAGCCTTCACTAGTGAATGATAAGGTGAACTGCTTCAATCATATGTAACTATGGGGGCTTACTATGTGTCGTGCCTTGGAAATTCAAAGGTGAATAAAACAGTATTTGTACCAATTTACAGTCCAGTGAACAGATGTGCAGATAGCCCATCACAATGCGACTACTTAAGTGTTAGATTGGAAGTCTGTGACAAGTGCAGTGAGGCACAAAAAACAACCTAAAGTTGGTTAGAGGAAGTCAGGATAGTCAGCTGGAGATGAGCTGAAGAAGTAAAGATTGTACCTAAAAAAAAAAAAAAAAAAAAAAAAAGCTGTGATTTGCATGTGAATCAGAGTTGCTTTCCTGTTGCACTTTCTGCCTGACTGACACACCTTACTCCTTACTCTGGAGTCCAGGTTGGGGAGCCTGGCTAAAGGGATGAGAGTGATGTACTTCTACTTTGGAAAGAAGGCACATGCTGTCATTTATTCTTCAGAATATTATACCTATATTTTTAAAAATCACGCCGGGCGGTGGTGGCGCACGCCTTTAATCCCAGCACTCGGGAGGCAGAGCCAGGTGGATCTCTGCGAGTTCAAGGCCAGCCTGGGCTACCGAGTGAGTTCCAGGAAAGGCGGAAAGCTACACAGAGAAACCCTGTCTCGAAAAACCAAAAAAAAAAAAAAAAAAAATCAGATGCCACTAGTACATACATAGTCTGGAATAGCAGTTTATTCATAGTCCTTTCCACCTTTTGGTCTGGCTTCATTATCTAGAAGCTGAGAGGCAACTTAGGCATTGCTAATAGCTTCTTCATTGGAAAGGAGGATAGAAAGATGGGCTTAGGGAAGAACTGCCATTAGAAATGGGCACTGTTTATGGAGTCTTTAAGCCAGCTGGTGTTTAAAGCTCCCGCTGGGTAGCAGTAGTGCACGCCTTTAATCCCAGCACTCGTGAGGCAGAGCCAGGCGGATCTCTGTGAGTTTGAGGCCAGCCTGGTCTACAGAGCGAGATCCAGGACAGGAACTAAAACTACACAGAGAACCCCTGTCTTGAAAAACAACCAAAAAAAAAAAAAGAAGCTCTTTACCTTATTATCTCATTTATTACTTAGAGTAGCCATATGAGTTTAGAGGCTATACCAATGCCATTTTGTCTTTTCTTTAAAAAGGATTGATTTTAATTTATGTGTATGTGTGTTTGCACACAAGTGTGCCATCATTTTGTACAGTCCTGAAGGGGGTGTCAGATCCCTTGGAGCTGGAGTTATATATAAATGGTTGTAAACTACCCATTGTGGGTCCTGGGAACTGAATTTGAGTTCTCTGCAAGAGCAATATGTGCCCTTTTTTTTCTTTTCTTTTCTTTTCTTTTTTTTTTTTTGAGACAGGGTTTCTCTGTGTAGCTTTGCGCCTTTCCTGGAACTCGCTTTGAAGACCAGGCTGGCCTCGAACATCACAGAGATCCGCCTGGCTCTGCCTCCCGAGTGCTGGGATTAAAGGCGTGCGCCACCACCGCCCAGCTTTTTTCTTATTTTTTAAAATTATTTATTTTTCCTTTATTTGCACCAGAGTTTTGCCTGCATGTATGTCTTTGTGAGGGGGTGTCAGATCTTGAAGTTACAGTTAGCTGCCATGCCGGTGCTAGGGATTGAACCTGGGTCCTCTGGAAGAATAGTCAGTGCTTTTAACCACTGAGCCATCTCTCCAGTCTGTAGTATGTGCTCTTAACTACTGAGTTATCTTTCTAACCTCAGCCCTATTTTTAAATTTTCTTTTGAGACAAAGTCTCGATAAGTTTCCGAGGCTGGCCTTGAACTCAGGATCCTCTTGTCTCAGTTTCCCAAGCAGCTGGGATTACAAAGTGCACATCATGCCTGGCAAACTACCTCTTTTAAATACTTGAAGCAAAAACTTGAATCAGCATTTCTTTGCTGAGAGGACCAAAAGAGTTATTGTTCTTATATAAGTTCTTTAATTTACTGATAACTTGATCATGTCAAGTTCTTGGTCATAAAGAATGATTATTGCTGCAAGTGAATAATTTACATGTTCTGGGTCCTATTTTCTGTCTGTCTGTCCGTCCGTCCGTCCATCCATCCATCTATCCATCCATCCATCCATCCATCCATCTATCTATCCATCCATCCATCTGTCTATCTTGAAACAGTCTCAGGTAGACCAGGCTGCCCCCAAACTCACTATGTACCTGAGGATTATCTTTTCAATTTTTTGATTTTCGAGACAGTGTTTCTCTATGTAACAGCCCTGGCTGTCTTGGAACTCACTTTGTAGACCAGGATGTCCTCAAACTCACAGAGATCCTCCTGCCTCTGCTTCCCGAGTGCTGGGATTAAAGGCGTGTGCCACTGCCACCCGGCCTGCACATAGTCTTGAACTGGTATTCCTATATATTGAAAGCCTTTCCTTTCTAAGTCTTACCTATCTTTTAGGGTTCTACCAAGGCTTTCTTGGCTTCTAGGACTTTTCTGATTTATACATTAGACTTTACCCCCTGCCTTTTGCTTACTTTTGTCTTACTGAGACAAGGCCCCTCTATTAATCCCATACTGGTCTTGAGTTTGTAGTCCTCCTGCCTCAGCTTCTTGAGTGCTGAGATTACAGGCGTGTACTGCCACATGTAGCTCCCCTGCTTTTAGTCATATTCCTAGGCTTATTCTTTAGTTTATCAATTTATTCATCAAATCTTTCTTGTTTTTTTTTTTTTTTTTTCTTTTTTCTTTTTTGGTTTTTTCGAGACAGGGTTTCTCTGTGTAGCTTTGTGCCTTTCCTGGATCTCACTCTGTAGACCTGTAGACCAGGCTGGCCTCGAACTCACAAAGATCCGCCTGCCTCTGCCTCCCGAGTGCTGGGATTAAAGGTGTGCGCCACCACCGCCTGGCCTTTGTTGTTTTTTGAGACAGGATCTTAGTATGAAGCCCTGGCTGCTTTGAACTTGACATGTAGCCCAAACTGATTGAACTTTGACCAGTCCCCTGCCTCTAAATGCTGGGATTACAGATG